AACTTATAAAATATAAATTTTTTTTTATTAAGATAACTATCCGGACATTATAAAGACTTGGCATGTGAAATTTCAAAAGCTTCTGATGCACAAAAGTATTTTTAATGTTAAGATGAAAATCACTTTGCATGATAGATAGGCAAGATGTGAAAAGAAAAAAAAAGGCATGAAAGAAACATTGTTTACAAGCCTTAAGACTTAATAAAAAAATTGATATTTTGTGTATGAAAGCATTGTAATGTTTACTGATAATCTGCCAAATAGGTTTCTACTGACATTGTCAGATGACATCTTGGGCTTTGAAACAAACATCATATAGTTAGTTAGTCCAGAGTTTCTTTTATATTTTAGTCTTGCTGAGTTCTTCTACTGCCTTGTATTACGAGGCATAATTTATGAGGTCATTGTAGCCTAAAACACAATACTTTTCCAGCAGCTTTTGCTTTCTGTACACACTTTCCAAGTGTAGAAGTCATGTTGCAAAGAATTCCTTCACAGTGCAGCTTGCACACTTAAGAGATTTTTTCAATCCTGTTCATTTGAAATTGTTTTCAAAGATTTATCAATCTCTGTTATAACATCACTTCTTTCTAAACTCCAGCCATATTGTTAGCTGATTTACTCAAACATGAATCAACATTTACATATTTTTTGATTAACAGGGAATATCCTACAATTCACAATTCAAATGATTTTTTGAGCATATTGGGATATACAGATGGGCCATTCTAAATTTCTGCAAAGTGTGTTAAGCTTGGTATCTTTTCAAGGGGAGGATTTGGCAGGAAAATTATGAAATAAATCTTAAGATGAATAAAGTGACTGAGCTTAAGCAAAGAAAGAAAAGATCAGACATGATGTGTAATGCAAAATGAAGAATCTTTATCTATATTTAAACACAAAACAGAGTGCATATTTGTATTAGATGCTGAATGGTCATCTTGTATTAGACTGGTGAATTGATCAATTGACTTTTTCCTCAAAATGTTTCCCCATCAACCAAATGACTTAAGATATCTTGTAGAACTGTTTTAATCCAATGCTCCTTAGTTAATGGATAACTTAAGATTTACATATAGCAAGGAGCACTATCCATATGACTGGTCGTTCTCATTCAACAAAGAGGAAGTCATAATCTTTAGATATCATTTGCTCTATCAGAGATGGGGACCTTCTTGTCCAATGTGCAGTGTTACAGCAATATCATCACAGGAAAAGCAGGTATTAAATCGTGAAAGGAACAAAGCTAACTAGAAAAAAATCAACTTAACTCTTTTGACATGGGTTCCTGTATTTTACACGACCTCATAACCATCATGAAGGAATAAATACTATAACTCTGAAAGCATTAATGTATTTTCACAAAATTTGACAAGAGTTTAGTAAATATTATAAGTCTTTAACACACAAAAATTCAGATTTTATAATTAAGTGCTATTACTAAAAATTTGTCTGTGAATATAAGTTAGACTATTGACTGCTCCAAATGCAAAGTGATTTTGATGTAAAAGTTAAAAATACTTTTCATTATCTGAAAATTGTGAAATTCCATTTGCACAATCTCTAAAGCCTCCTAAAGAAATGTCAAACGTTTTTTTCCCCAGTAAAACCTTATATTTTATCCGTCATTTCTCTACCCTAACTATACACTAATTCAGTTAATTTGACATACCTCATAAACACCATAAAAAATCCGAACTAAATCTAAATTACCCTTTTTTTCTTTCTAGAATCACTGCAAATTGTAATATGAAACCACAATTGTTCATCCTAAGCAAATTAAAGCTCGTAACAGTATACATTTGTACACACATAATTTTATTGTTTTATTGCCCATTGGACCATTCCTAACTAATAATCTCACCATACAAGATCTAAATCATTTGGCAAATGTACAGCTCATATTACCATAACAAATTATGTAACAGACAAGCTGCTCATGAGTATACCCCATGAAGAATCTTTATCAATATTATTGTTACGACAGCGGAAGTCACGTGATGCTGGTAACACGTCATGAGATTCTCAAAGGATCTCGACTGTTCCTGGCAACTCTAGTCTTTTCTAGGTGGCCTCTATTTTAGCACATAAGCCCGGCAAATAAAGCAGAGATATAATTGCACATAGAGAGATATCAAGACAGATAATTGAGTCAAGTGAGCGGTAGTGACCGTAAGTAAAGTGCATGAATCATTGTGAATTATAGCGTGTGTTTAAGTTAAAGTGCCCATGGAAATTCTGTGTATTGCAAAGTTGTACTGAGAAAGAATAAACTAGTTTTATTTAAGAAAGGACTTGTATCGCTGAAGTTTCTCGGAAAGAATTTATACCGGAAATTAACAAACGAACAGAGATGTAACATTATTCTTTCGTTATCTTAAACAATGTACCCTAATAAATTTTTAATATTTATATTTTAGTTACTTTAATAATAACAAATAAAGGATACACATGAAAAACAAGAAATAAAGTACTTACCTGGGTCTTCTTTTTTTATTATTTTGGTATCAACTGTTTGTGAAACTTAAGCATACTTTTTTATACTAATAGTACTACCACACTGAATAATTTTTATTAATTAAATAATGACCTACAAACAACACAGAATAACACACAAAAAGCAAACAAAGTCTTATAATTATCATAATTTTTACGGCTTTTTAACTATGCAATAAGGGCCATTAAAAATTCAGATAAGCTCATCCATGTGAGAAAAAAATTGAAACTGCATGACAAAATAGACAATGCCCTGTACAGAAAGCAATATAATACATCATTTTATAGATAAAAACTATAATTTTCTATTGGTTACAAATACTTTAGTATGAAATGTCAGAGAGAACAACTGGTAATGTGTGTAAGAGAGGATGTGACAGGTAGAAGCACGATTTTCTAGTTTATGGCTATTTAAACAAATAAGATTGAAGGCTATAAAAATTATGCTTTGCCTGAGTATTATCTATCTTATAATAAGTAGTTTACATTAAATTTCATACTTCTTGGAGGGGTTGTAAATAAATTGGAGAAAAGGGAAGACCTAAATAGCAAATGTCACAATTTTTATACTAGGGGAGATTGAGGATTTTTAAATATTTTCTAATAAAATTAAGAATTTAAAACTTGATTTATTAACTATATTTTGATGCCAAGTTTATTTGTATACATTGATAATAAAGTAGTTTAAGTAAGTTTTGAATGTAACTCTCTAAGAGGATTGTGAAAGGGTTGATGCTTTTTTGTGAGCACGTTTATGCAAAACTATATACATTCAGAAAAAAGAGAATTTTTGAAAAATTCTATATTAAAATAAGAAGATAGGAAAAGCATGATATGCCTGCATACCACATGGTTTTTTCTCTTTTTTTTAACATTACAAAGCTGTACTTTGACCCAGTATCATCTAAATATCCTTTACAAATAAAGTTAACATTTTAACAAAACTTAAAAATTCCACACCTTAAGTTCAAAAATTCAGACTTTTCTTTTTTAATTAATTGTTATGAATTTACATGCAAATTTCACACTATATAAATATCAAGTTCTGAAGTTAAGTAACAAATATTAGTAACGTGCATCCTTACTTTTAAAGACATCTTCTTCTTCTTCAAGCTCTGTGAAATCACTGAATTTATCAGCTAGTTCCTGCAAGTCGACATTATCAAGTTCAATATCTTCTAAACTTCCTGCACTCTCCACTTCACTACTTTCTTGCGTTTCCGGATGTACACTGTTGTTCTCATTTTGCTGAACGTCGGGTGTGCCCTGTTTTTCCTGCTCACAAGTGTAAGCCATTAACACAATAAATAATACTATGGCAACATTTAAACAATCAAATTAACCAGGTATATACAACAAAACAGTATTTCAAAACTTTAAAGTTCAAAACCATTGATATTTAGGACTCTTAAAATTACTACTCAGAAATACAGTGCAATGTAAGTATGAATTATATATACACGTAAATTATACTTATTTATATTACAAAATTTAATTTTTAATATGAGTAAAGGGCAAATTTATACATGTAATATGGCTCAAGTAGAAAGTTAATATTTCTTAATACATTTTACATTCTTGTTAATATCAAAACCAAAAACTAGGACATTCCTTGAACTGCATATGAAATTACACACAGAAAATTATATCAGTGTACATAAGTTTTTCTTTAAAAGCTTACATTATACCTTGAGACTTTTGTACTAGTTAAAAATTTACTTTGAAGATTAATACTACATATATCAGTACTTTGTAATTTATTTTAGGTATTTATGAGTTTGGATTCCTACACTGTAATATCATGCCTATTTGAATTATACTGGAGATCAAAACTTGCTTCAGACATATTTTCTTTACAACTTGACAAAAAGATTATTACTTTGTTGCTGTCTTTGTTGCCAACACCAATACTCTGGTTTGGTAAAACATCTTTGTGGGTATCTTCAGTAATCGTGGCCAAGGAATTTGTTAATTTTGTGTGGGATGCAGAAGCAGTAACATCAGTTGAAGAAACCTTGGCCATGTTTTCAAGCTTGATTAAGCCCCCACTCAAGTCTGCAAATATAAATGAAAATAAATTTTAAAATTTGTTTTCAAATGAAGTTAACTCTTTCAATCCAGGCTCGGTCCTTGGAACCGACCTTATAACCATTTTGCGCTTGTTATAGTTTTGATGCTATAACTTTTAAATTACTAATCAAATGTTAAAGAAATTCGGCATTTTATCAGTAAACATTACAATGCTTTGATATGCAAAATA